GGTTTTCGTTTTGTGGCGTTAGTCAATTGTTAATGCAAACATATTGCGACATATGGGACTATTTACATGGACAAAGCAAACGAATAATATATGGTCTGAAAATTTTCCAAAATATTACTCGACTATTTTGCTATTGTGAAAGAAGAATAAAAAAATTCATCATCTCTACCCACTAGCTTGAGCGGTCTCGGCCTCGCAACTATTTCATTCATTACGGCCTTTGTTGCCTTGGAGCATCATACCAAAGAATGGAGCTCCATCGCAGCTACGATTTCTTTATCGGATCGGAAATGCGGCATGTTGATGAAATGGGAGAATTTCTGCAAAGGCTTGAAAAAGATGAAGTATATTAAAAATGTTCAGGTTAACTCGCCTTGAAAGACATACGACATGTCAAGCAATATCTTGGTGTAATGCAATTTACCGAGAATTAGTTGAAAGAACAACGACAGTTATCAAGGTAGCGAACATAGTTTTGATTGCTCTATAACATCTTGTTTCTTATATAAATTTGCATAGATCAATAATTTTTTCATCTAACATGCAAACATTTCAAGATTTATCTTCTAATCCAATGGAAACTATTCCCGGTGTAAAGTCACGATACAAGTTGAAATAAATAAGGTCGAAGAGAAGAAATATTGATGAACAGATTTTGTTATGCTATCACTGATTTTCAAAAAATTAAGGATTCTTTCTGCTTCCTTGATTGATAGATCTCAGACTTAGATAATTAAACTATTATCCGTATAAGCTTGATCAATACAGCAACAAACTCAACAATTACAATATCAGTAAGAAAAATTCAATGAGATATCAACAAGAAGAAAAGAAAAAAAGAGGACCAAATAACGCGCGATATCGTCTATCCAATTGATCTCGATGAAACACATCTTTAGAAATGATTTTGGTGATCAAGGTCCTCTATTTCTTCGAATATGAAAGCAACTTATATGATCTAACCAATTCTACATATTTAGCTCTTATCTATTACTACTTATTACTTAATTATATGTTCTAGCTATTGGCATATTTATTTCCCGTGTTGTTACGAAATTTTTCTCCATTATAATCTTTTTATTCTTGTTCATGAATGGATGTTTCATTTCATATCACTTCTATGGTGGAATCTGTCAGTTTTTTTAATTTTATTCACATAAAATGCATTTGCAGTTTCATCCAATATTCTTGAGTATGCCATGATATTTTTAGACTACTGTCAATTGTCAAGTTCATTTCAAGTTTTGGTATGTTAATTTATTCAGAATTGTCTAAATTTATGAATCTATTTAAACTTTTTCGGATTTCGAATATTTCCTTGGACTTGGAAAATTTTGGATTTGTTTGAATTTACTTGAACTTATAATTTTTTAGATCTTTGTATTTCGCTTATTTATTTGAATCTCTTGAATTTACACCTTTTTTGAATCCCTAAATTTCCGATAAAGAAATTTTCACTTTGATTTTTATGTTTTCTTTAGTGTTTTAAATTTCTGAAGTGTTTTCAGAACTTTTCTTTAGTTTATCATAAATATTTCGTAACATATTTTCACGGGCATTGACCTCAGGTAGATAAAAATGCTAAAAAGTCTGTTAAATTTGTAAAACTGAAGAGCTCTGCACGAATATTCCTTTTGTCTTCTCAACGACTGTTTAAAACTGAGGAAGGTTTGTGTTTACAGTATTTCTTGTGCATGGAAAGCGATGGCGAAATGTGGAATTCTTTCCCACAACCGGTATGTTTACATTGATAACGAAATGGTTTATCGTGCGTTTGGAAATGTTCGTTATATTCAATTTTGCCCTGCATGGTCGCATTACAGTCAACATGTGGACACTCATACTTTTTCATACCTAAAAATGAATTGCTGTGACATTTCTATCTGCAATTACTTTTCCTATCACTTCATTTGGTAATTAATTGATTCGATTTCCAATTAATTTAGAATTCGCGGAACTATTCACTTATTTGGTATATATATTAACGATAGAATCTAAGTCTTTTTGTTACATCTGATGGAAGGTCTGATGGAATGCCGTAAACGTAACTTCGGAATGCCGTAACTTCACTGCCGTAAACGTTTTGCAACACATTTTCATGTGAGCAAACACATTGAAACTTCTTTTGCTATGCATAAACTTCACGAATCTAATCTTTAGCGCTGTGGTATCGTTTTGATTGTGCCTTTGTAGGATCCGCATTGTAGAAAGGAAACGGCCACAAATTTGACATAGCAGATTAGGTTGATGCACTTCTTTATGCTGTTTAAATCCTCCTAGGGAATAGAATTCCTTTCCACATACGGGACAGTTGAAGCTGTTGTGCTTTTTAAGATGTTTAGAATATTGCTTGCTCGTCTGCACAGTCGTGTACCACAACAACAACATTTAATCTTCTTCTGCAAAACTGAAATATAATTTGAAAAATGATTGAAAAATGATTTATTGATTTTCTTGCTCTATTTGTTGTTTTCCTCTGGACACACACTGGGTGTTTTGAATTACTAATCCTCCAATCACAATGATAGTTTTGAATTTTCGGTTACTTTTTACAGGTGAGCTCTTGCCAGGTTTTGGGGTCGTTTGATAGATTTGACAAAAACGTGGGCTCGAATCACGTGATCATCGCAAAAAATATTTTGCCACGTTGAACTGTCTCATTTTGTCGCTGCGATTTATGTTGTGTTAACTTTGATTTCTGCCATTGTTCTTCCGGCGTATTTTGAAACATTTCGAAAAAAAAAACAAAAAACAAAGAAATGAAAAATAGAAAAATAAAGAATAAAAAATGAAAGAAATGGAAAACGAATGAAAGAGTGAAATAAAAATGGTGAAAAAAGAAGCAAAAAAATGAAAAATAAATTAATAAAAATAAGAAAAAAACTAAATTATCGTTCCAATTGCTGACGCTTTTTTGTACATCCGTTTTATTTCCCATGTATAGCTTTTTTCAAATTTTCATTTTGAAGTTTCTTATATGATTTCAATTAAATCCATTTATATAGCTTCTACATATTACTAATTGTATAATTACGTGTTCTTGCTAATGGCGTATTATAGTCACTGTTTTTTTCCTTCGTTATAATCGTTTTGTTCTCGTTCAGAATGTGAGTGTTATTAGGAATACATATTCTCATAAGCACAGCTAATAAATGCATCGTAATTTTGCTTTCTAAGCAATGATTGCTTTATGCTACTTTGTACACTTCCCATGACATTTATTTACAAATTGTTTACTTTATGCTGAAAACTATTAATAATCTTCTGGAACATTGGCAGATCTTCAGAAAGGATAAAATGTTTCATGCATGAAAATGAACCCATCGATAACTGTTGTTGTAGTGAATTGTCACATTGTCCTCAAAAGTATTAGTTATGATTATCACCGATTTTGCGACTAAATAGGAAGCAGCAGAACATGACTTTTTTTGACGATGAATGATGGAACTTTTAAAAGCAATTTTGACATTGATAGTTGTGTCATTCCAATATATATAATTATGTATATGTGTGC